CGAAAATTACGAATTTGTTTAAAAAAAATTGTTTAAACAATTTTTGACCATTAGTAATGTCTGGCAACATGCGGATATGATTCAAGGGTCATTTTTTTAGTAAGATTATGAAAAAAAATTCGAATGAGAATCATGTTCCTAGCGGGAGCAACGATACAGCCTGGACTAATACTTATACATATTATAAAACATACCTACAATATAATATACAAAAAAATATAATAACATAATATATAGTATTAAAAATATAATCATTACAGATTTCTCCATTATTATAAGTTTATTTTTTGAATATTCCTAAAATTTTGGTTTATAGTTTATAACGTATAATAAATTCTAACCCTTAAATATAACCTAAGTACAAATTTTTTCGGAAAAGAATGACACGGATGACTAAAAGGTAGTTTTTTAATTAATTCAAGAAATGTGCTACAAATGTTATTTTTTGTGGATAATTGTTCAAAATTATCTTGAAATATCGTTTCAGTGCTACAAATGAGCTCAACAAAGTTATCGTTTGGCATTTGTAATTGTCCAAATAAGGTATCTTTATTTTCATTATTATATAAAATAAAAATAAATCAACGAAAATATACCCACGCCTATGATTGCAATTCTTACTACCCGTTGTCGCTACTCGCCTGAACGAACGCCAAAGCCGTCTTTTCCGCTGTAAGGCGGGGCATAAACGCTGCGCGGCGGAATCGACGCTAACCGTTCCCGCCAAGGCAGTTGGGGAGCTGTATGAGCTGTATTTACTATGCAGTTTGGGCTGTGTTTAGTGTTTAGTCTGCTAGTAACCAAATGATGGCTATTCACTGCTTTTTTTCTTATTAAACGGAATTTATTATATGTTAACTGTAAAATTTTGTTACCTACGCATTGTTTCTCGTGTTTTATTAAATTGTAAAAGATTAAATTAGATTGTAAAGACAGACTAACAGCAATTGGAGTGGTATCTATTGAAAATTCAAACTTTAATAAAAAAGTAAATGAAAAGTTTATTTCGGACAGACGCAGAAAAATGGACTCGTTATAAAAAATAGTTTTTATTTGACCACATTTCCCTATATTTCAATACTACTTAAAATAAAACTATTTGATTTTTTTTTCAATACTTTGAACTTATATTTTTTTTGCGTTCCTTGGTATGGAAGTCAAGAGCTGCCCTTGCCAAAAACGATATAAAAGAATATTCCTAAATTTAAATAAAGTAAAAATTTAACATTAGCCGTGTTATTCCTAATGCACATGCTCGGGAAGAATAGCCGCATACGCAGGTGAGATCTTGTTGATATATCATCGCTATCATCATTAGCATATTTTCCTTCTACTAAGTATTTTTATTGTTTTTCTTGGTTGCGAGGCTACTTTGCTTACATGAAATTGTCTTTAATGCGTATGTTCAGTAATACTGATACAATTTTAATTTATTAATTACTATAAAGGTCAATATTGTTCTATAAATTTAAATATATAAATTCTATCATTCTTTTACTTTGTCACTTGGGGTTTGAAACTTCTTAAATATTTCTAATATTGCCAGAATATCGCGATATTTAAGCTCATGACAAAGAAGACATTTTTTTGACACTTATGTCTAAAGTACACAAGGTCGAAAATCGACCTAGTAAAAATACTGAGAAATTCATCATGACAATGTGTACTATGGGGTTGTCTATTATTTGGCGTATGTGACGTCACTACTAAAAAGGACTATTCATTTCTCCTACTCGAGAACATTCTATTCCTACCTATAAGATATTAGGTAACTATTTATGGAAATTAGTTGACTGCATGGTACCAAGCAAACAAAGTGAGTTAATGACGAACACATTTAATAAAAATGTCAGACAGAATACTTTGCAAGTGTGTTTATGAGATATAAAGCAAAATAATTAATTTAACTCTTAGATAATGCGGGTACTTAAATAATTTATTATTTTTAATTCAAAACTAAGTTAACATTGTGACAATTTCAGCAATTCCACCACTATACGTGTAACAAAACTATGCCATGTACCTAACTATATACGTTTGTTCAAATATGTTTGTTTAATAAAAAATTAAAACTACATGCCAAACTTGAAAGAAATCGCTTAATCAAGCGATTTTTTTCTAATACAAAAAGCCTTGAACGAATCTTTTCAGGACATTCGTCTATTTTTTTTTCGTTGATTTGTACCACGTCTGCCTTAAAAACAGGATAGGATTAAATTAATAAAGGTAATTATATCAGTTTCAGTGTTTTCTTTTTTTACTTCTGTTTCTATGTAAAACCTTAAAAAAAATCACTTACCAATTACGTTCCCATGGTTTATAGCGTCTCTTACTCTAAATCGACTCTTGCTTATAGTGAAATCAACCATCATTTTATCTATTTTCATAAACCTAACGTTTTCCTTATTTTTATATTCTTTCCCAAACATTGTCGCTTTTCCATATACATCAACTGAAATACATATTATAAACTTAGTGATCTTAACATGAACTTTAAATTCATTTTTACTATTTTCACCGCTAGGTAGTTGGTACACTGGTTTTTTTTATCATTCAACAGTTATCAAAATGCACTTATCTATTTACTCAAGATTATTCATCAGTTATACATATCATCAGTCTAACCTCAAATATTTGAACTGATTTGATTTAAACTACCGAAATAAAGATATAACAATTATTGTATATAGAATTATTTAAAATTGCAGTTTACAACATAATTAAACTTGTAATAATTGCCAAAATCATTTAATGAAGCTAACAAAAATGCGCGCGTCGACTACAATCAATTACAATTTAGCAACGCTAGCAACTAAATATGCCAGAATAACGTACCAAACAAGCGAGGCGCTGGCTGTAGTTAGCATTAGCTTTATAAGCTGCACTATATAGACATACCCTCTTGGACTGTGGTCTGTATATCTAAATCAGTACAGTCTGTACAATATTTATTGAGATAGAATACCAAGAAAAAATAAGCCAATGAAGCTCTGTTATCGGAACTACTGTAACAATTTACTGCGGAAGGGAATTTTCAGCGTTATTTTCGGAATATTAAAAAATATGTATATAAGATAAATATACATATATACAGTAGATTTTTTGGATTAAAATGTGTTTTTATTTCTTTTCCAGTACAGTAGAGTCAGCCCCTAATCTTATACATTTTCGAAATCACTAGAACTTTCAATATCAAAGCTGTTATAATCAAGTCTTCTACTCCCACATCAACCCGAATCTCGTTTTGCAAGTAATTATCTCCAACTTTCATCCAGTCTTCGACAATAACTGATCAAAATTCTTTTTCTGTCAGAGTCTTCACACCTAATTTAAATGAAACATCTTCGCTACATTGTTTTTAACTTGAACCCATATTATTTCAATTGGATTTAAATCAGAAAGCCTTACTTTCTATTATGTTTAATAACTTCATGCAGCTGTGGCTTAAGCAAATTCGGCGAAAAAGGTATATTACACATTAACCAATCTACCATATCTGTTTTTCTTGTCATATATGTTGCAGGTAGATGCTTTATGTACTTGTACATTATGACATGGTGCATTATCAGTTACAATAACAATCTATAATCCAATAAAGTTGTGTTCGGCTTATAGGGGGCAAAAAAAATCCAAACAGGATCTCTAATACTTAATGAGTTACTGCGCGTTATATGAAAAAAATTTGACATTTGACACACTGCAGTGGTGGTCTTGTAAATATGTTTTTACAAAGAGTTGGCAACGGTGGGAGTGGGGCAAGAGGTGTTTGGCTGTCATGTGTTAGCTGACAGGCTGCATCAGTTCATGTTTAGTTTTCATTCATTTTTGTTTCAGTCATTTTAGTTTGGCAGTGTTTGGTTATATTAGTTTTAGTTAATTACTAGTTTTGTATGTGTCGCGAAAATGGATACCTGCAAATCCTTCATCAAGTAGTCAACCAAAATTAAAACAAATTTATCTACTCTCCCACCAACATCGGTCCCTACCACCTACCACCAAGTACAGCTATGATTTGACAATTATCTAGATCCAGAAGACTGGGGATGGAAAAAGGACCTACGACGGTGGATGCCTTGCAGAACCAAAAGTAGAGCTCCTAAAACTTATTTCATGCCAATGCGGTACACCTTGTAGAGCAGCTCGTGCTTGTCGAAAAGTAGTTTTGCAGTGCACCGTAATTTGTAAACACTATGCTGTCGAGACTTGCGATAACGCACAACGAATGCCATTATATGAATTTGGAAATGACAGCGATGATGACGATATTGATGATGACCCTGAAAACAGTACATCACGTACGCAAGATGATAGTTCAAACATCGATCCGGACGACCTTGAGAAAGAGATGAATTCATCTGAGCCTTCCAGGAAAAGGGGACAATTAAACTGAGTTGATGATTTTCATGCAGATCGTGAATTAGGACTAAATAAATGCGCTGTAACTTGTTAAGTAGTCGAGTTAATTAAAAATTTTGCAGAGCAAAATTATTGAGTATTTACTTCTCTCCAACTTTTATAAAAGTTATTTAAAAAAAATTGTCCAGTCCTGTGGCAAACGATTTTTTTGTAATATGTATAATGCGCAGTAACTCGTTAAGTATTAGAGATCAGAATTTGATCTTCTACAACTTTTATCTAGGTCGGACGTTTTGCTCTAAAAAAATGTTTAGGAAATTACCCCCATGGCGCAAGTGGTGCCAGGAGTTCGAGTGTGATCTTTTGGTTGTATACTCAGGAAGCAGTCCCCAAGCAACCCTAAAAAATTATCCTGTTTGTTTTTTTTTAATATATAAAATGACATCTTTATTGGATTACTAAGGGAAATTTGGAATCAACTTCTCTGTAATCCACCGATTTTGGTCCCAGATTTAAAAATCAACACACAGTTAGGGATAAAACACATTTCACCACCAGCGTGAACAATAGGTACCTACCTAGGTAATCGATTGCCTTTAGAAATGTGTTATATGGAAGAGGTATTTTTATTGGCTCTTCTATGGTCTCCCGAAATTCTTTGGAAAAGATCGGTAGAGAACGCGATACGAGCGAGACGAGCTCGGGAATGTCTAGCACGAACGCATACATTATAAAACATGGGAAGGAACGCCACCGCGCGCAATCGAGACTAGCATGGTCCGCAATGCGACGGGACCGGGACCGCGACCGCCTAATGCGTTCCCTCCTTTACTGTTCAACTGTTGGAACTAGTATGGCCAGCGTGAATAAGAAATTACATTGAAAATGCACAGGACAATACACTTACGAAGTATGCACTGAAAACTGATACGGTGAACGCCATGCCGCCAATGTCTTTTTACCTCAGGTGTTGAATGCGGTTAATTCAAAAGAAAGTCACGCAGGGGTCTTCTTGGAATTTTGTCTCAACAAATATCGTATGGACTGTATATGTGTTAATGTGTTAACCGATTTAAAATCAGATAAGATCGAGCTAAATCTTGGTCAACCCATAATGTTTATTGTTAAACGAGCAATACCAAAAGAAAATCAACGCCAGATATTTATCCGTTGATTATTTAAACAGGATATTTTGTTATACATAAAAGACTTATATAGTGATTTTATCCGGAAACATAATATTAAGAAAAAACTACTGCTTGCTTGCATGCATGGCTTACATGTGGCCCACAGAGTAGTTGTTTCTTGCAATATCTTCAGTTAAGGATCTTGTCTATGAGGTTATATATATTTTGCATACCTAGATTTCCGGTTGTTTAACTTCATTTGATATGATTTTTGGAAAAATATTTATTTGATTTAGCTTAATTCCTTTACATTAAAATAAAAAAATAATTTTGTCGCTCTATATCTCAAAAACAAAAGAGCTTCTTTATAAACAAAAGACAATAAGTCTATTTAAAAAATATTCCTACTTTTTTATTTTACATCACCCCTTGTTTATACCATTAACTAAAACATCATAAGACGATTTTTAAGATTCCATGATGTTAGCACTTTCATAAATATTAAAAAAAGAACAAAATACAAGTACTTCGAGCCTTTTATGTGAAACACGTTTGAAACAACAACGTTAAGTATTATTAATACTCACGAAATATAGCCCAAAATTCTCCTTTTGTTCTCAAATTAAACAATAGGACATTTCCGCTAACGTCGTATTTTCCTTTTATTTCGATTTTGGGTAGTGTGACACCTAGCTGTATAATATAGTTCGCGACATCCGCCCTGAAAGAAGAAAACAAATATATAGAAAATTCAGAAAAATATATCAGTGGCTTCGTTTTTCTTGAAAAGGATAGGAAGTAGATATATTATGTCAAATTTATTTTATTTATTTTAACCTATATGGCTTTAGATAACGCCTCACTTATTAATCCTTCTTTAATTTTTAAAATTTTGTATAAAAAAGTAATAAGAGTTGTTGAAATTTTGCATTCACTTTTCACACACAACACCTAATTCTCACAGAAATGCTTCAATTTCTAAGACATAGCTACTTGATTTTTTGAAATTAAAATGGTAACACAAATAATGTAGCTTCTATTCATAAATAGCTAAATGAAGCTTATCTTATCCTATCAATAAAATGCAAATGCCTACACATACCTAATCATAGATAAATCTCAAAAGAAGATAATATTATAAAAATAGATAGTACTGGTCCTAATTTTATGGGAATAGAAAATACAATAGTACCTACTATTTTAAAAAACCCTATTCCGAAATTTCAAAAATTGTCGGTGTCATAAACTTTTTGTACCTATGTATTTACTTGAATTTCAAGCCACAATCGGTAAAGATAAATAATCACTAGTTATGTTAGTTGAATAGATTTATGCTGGTTAAACATGTAATAATAATTGAAATGTAATTTACGCATAATAAATTATTCTGTTTTTATCAATAATACTTGCTTACCGAACTGACTGTACAGAAAAATTGCTGGCTCCACTTGCGGAAATGTTAAAAAAATTTGCTTTAACTCTATAAACTCCTCTTCCATTTTCCATCGTTAAACTATCAATTTTTAATGGATCGATACTGGGAACGTCTATATCTTCTATACCATTTACTAAATATGGTTTGAGATGATCAAACGTATTTATAATACATGTATTGATATCTGGATCACTTTTGTAGCATGGCTTAATATACTCAGCTGAAAAAAAACATGATACAATAAAACAAAATAATTGAATATCTAGGAAATATAACATATGTCTTTATATATGAGGCATTCCATGCCAAATAGCTGAGGTCGTGACCCGACCATTTTTAATTTTCCTGATTTTTTGGTATTATTCAGTATTTACTCATTTAGAATAGGTATAGTCTGTTTAGAAATGAAAGAGAGTAATAAAAGCTTATTATGTATGCAAATTGTAAATAAATGTAGTACTGGTGCTTATATTCAATATTTTTATATTATGTATTATCGGTATAGATGAGGTGTACTTTTAAAAAAACTTTGTGTGACCGGGTTGTACTAAATTGTAGCAGGTAGCTAAAATTTAATCCCCGACAATCCGTCTTTATCTATGCCGCTTCAATTTCTCGGTCCATTTCTCTTATAAGTAAACAATATAAAAACAGCATTTCAAAACATGAGGCTACTTTAAGCATCATAACCGGGTTAAGAGGGTTTTTAGTAATTCAAATAAAATTATTCAATATTATTATCAAAATATTTATTTAAATTTAATGAATAGACTTTTATTCCACACAAAAATATATGTATTTTGAAAATTCAAATTATGGTGAGTAAATGTAGTGTTGTATAAATGTACAATAAAGAAAATAAAAAAGTAGGTATATTAAAATTCATCCTCTGAATATTCTGATGAATTATCTTCGTCTCCTAGATTGATAACGATAGGTTCCACAGTAACGTCAATTAAATTATCGAGTTCCCACATTTTCTCCTCTTCTTTTTGTACATGATGTATACATCTTTGCCAGTTATCTGCAGTTACTCGTTCCAAGGAATTTTTTAACAAAATTTTCACGTCACTTAATTTAAACGTCGTATTATTTCGCGCTACATCTCCTTTTACCTGCGCCCAGACTAATTCGATTGGGTTAAGTTCACAGTGATAAGGTGGTAACCGTAGTACCGTTATTTGGCGATTTGTTGCCATTTCATCGATAACATATTTTTTCTGATCTTTATTAAGATTGACAAGTGTCAAAAGTTCCTTTTTCACCATATTTGTTTCAAAAGAAATGTTTTTTCCGGATAACCATTGAATTATATCGGCTTTCCTCCAAGCAGTCGTAGGCGTCCGCTCGGTCTGCCGTGAATGGTAACTGGCATTATCCATGACAATTACAGACCCCGGAGGAATAAGATCCAACATCTGTGTAAAATACTCTTCGAAAACATCTGCGTTCATGTCTTCGTGATAGTCACCTGTATTTTTAGATTCAAATAAAAGTAAACCGCCATCTACAAAACCACTGGCACTACCTATATGTGTCACTATTAATCTTCGCCCTTTACCTGAAGGTGCCTTGAACCCTGTTGAAAGTCCATCCAAAAATGCTTGTCGAAAACTTTTTACATTTTTATCTTGCCATACTTTTGTTACAGTATATCCCTCGTTGACCCAAGTTTCGTCTAGATAATAAATATTCCTCCCTTCGTCACGGAATTTTCTAATTGATCTTAAGTAGGATCTTCGCCAACAAATAATTTCATCTTTATCGATAAGAACTGACTTCCTGTTCTGCTTTTCCCAGCAAAAATTCAACTCTCGTAAGACGGCCCATAATTTGCTTCTACTGATTTTTGGCAAATCGTTGTCCTCTGAAAGTTCACTTAAAATTTTGTTTAGCGTTGGTATTTCTTTTTTAAAATAAAATGAGTGTACTTTTCTGCGAATGACATTTTTGAAGAAATCATCTATAACGACTTTTGACCTCCCTGTAGATGATTTTGGGGGATTTACAGTATCTTGTTCATTTTTTGTTTCCTTTAAAAGTCTGTAGATAGTCGATTTTCCAATCCCTGTCATTTTGGAACACTTTTCCACGATGTCGTCAACACTGTTGGTAGGATTTTGGTGTTTCAATGCATTAAATACATTTAATATAATAATCTTCTCATTCTGAGACAGCGCACATCTTTTCACGCGTTTAGCAGGTACGTAATCTGATAAGCTCGACATTTTACCCAAACAATATTATATCCACTGGCACAATAGTCACTAAACACAAGTCGAATTTTACTCTACTGCACTAGCACGTCTTCGTATATTCAGCTCTAAGACTGGATTGATCTGTCACAATACACTGGCTCCTGCCCTATGATGTATCCAGTAAAATATACTAATGTACACCCATTACCTGTTAGCATTAGTGTTACCCGATAATTACCTGAAACGAAATATTACCACGCCCATGGCCGGTTCTTTTCTCGGGGTTTTATTACTATCTTTCATTTCCAAACAGACTATAGCTTTCATGAATTTTTTCAAATTTTTATTTCAACCCCTCAAGAAGTTATGAGCATTTGAATATTTGGGTAACAAAATTTTAAATACGAATACGAAACGATTTTATATTGTTATGAAGGGCTACAATTTTGAGCGCTTAGATAGGGATGGTCATGGCGGTGGCGTAGGAATTTATTTGCATAATTCTGTAAAATATGATATAATCGATTCTAGTAATATTGAACAACTATGGATTAAGGTATATTTAAAATCGAATACCATAGCGCTTTGCGTCACCTATAAGTCGCCTAATTTGAATTATAACCAATTTTTTAACATATTCGAGGAAACGGTATCAAATGTAATGCCAACAGTTGACGGGTGATTATGGGTGATTTTAATGTTGATCTTTTGGATTCTGATGGTCCTGGCACTCTATTTGTTAATAATGTCTTTGAAGGGTTATCATTAAAACAGTTAATAGCTCAACCTACTAGAATTACGCAATATACTGCTACTCTACTAGATTATATTTTGGTAAAATCAGAAGAGCTTATCTCTGATGTAGAAGTTAAAGAAGTACCACAAATAAGTGATCATGAAATAATTTCTTGTACCTTGAATATTATAACTCATAAAAATCAAACAAAATTCAAAACGGTTAGAGATTTTAAAAATTTTAATTTTCGTTATTTTGATTCTGATCTCAAGTCAATTCCATGGAAAATAATATACGATTTTAACGACATTGATGCTAAAGTAAATTTTATTACTGAAACCATTAATACTCTTCTAGATATTCATGCTCCTTTTAAAACTATACGCATTACTAAATCTTATGCACCTTGGCTCACGGATAATATTCATTTATTAATGTCTCTGAGAGATAAAGCCAAATTAAAACATTGAGGAATATGGTAACACTAGCAATTCGCAACGAAAAGAAAGCCTATTTTAATGCTGCTTTTAGAAACAGCAAAGGAAAGGAGTTTTGGTCTTCCATAAAGTTACTAAATTTGGGATGCCGTAAACAACCCTGTGTACTACCATTTCATTTGTCAAATGTAGATAGTATTAATAATCATTTTATCCATTCAATTCCTCAGTTACCTCCAAATAATGACATTATTTCTTATTATGAGAAAAATACCAAAATATTAAATACTAATGCCTTTATATTTCATAGTGTTACTGAATTTGAAGTCTTACATATAATTTCTGATATCAAAAGCACAGCTAGTGGTTATGATGGAATCAATATATTAACAATTAAATTATGTATGCCATTCCTACTTCCATATGTTACACATATCATTAATTTTTGTTTATTAAACTCTGTTTTTCCTTCCTCTTGGAAAAAGGCTCTTGTAATCCCATTACCGAAAGTAAAAATTCCGACTAGTTTAAACAATATTAGACCCATCAGTCTTCTTCCAACGTTTTCAAAAATTTTAGAAAAAATAATGGAATCACAGCTACGTAAACACTTAGTTGAAAATAATATTATTCCTGTACATCAATCTGGTTTTAAAAAGAATCACAGCTGCACTTCTACCCTTTTGAGTTTAACTAATGACATTTTTTCGGCTTTTGATGAAAGAAAACTATTACTTTTAGTATTATTAGATTTCAGTAAGGCATTTGATACCTGGAATCATCAGCTTCTATTAGCAATTTTAAAACATGTTGGACTTTCATGTGCCGCCGTGCAAATTTTCAGTAACTCCAATCTCACACATAGAGAACAAGCTGTACTTTACAAGAACAATACATCTCAATTTCTAAGTACTGATAAAGGCATTCCACAAGGCTCAATTTTAGGACCATTATTGTTTATCATTTATACATCCAATTTTCCGTCTGGTTTCATATCATGCATGCAGTATTACTTTGCTGATGATACCCAAGCTTTTTTGTCTTTTTATCCCGATGAAAGTGAACAAGCATGTATCCGCAATTAATTATGACTTAAATAATTTTGCAGAACTTGCTCAAGGCCACTCTTTACAAATTAATAGCAGTAAATCTATGGCTATTATTTTCGGTAATAAAAAAGACAGAACAAATTTTGTGCAACAATTTGGCAACTCGATTTTAATAAATAATGTTAATATTAGTTTCTATAATTCCGTCAAAAACCTTGGGTTAATAATTGATCAAAATTTGAGCTTTTCTCTTCACATCAATAAATGCTTGCAAAAGGGTTACATGGCTCTTAAAGCTATATACGCTAATCGTTTATTGCTGTCCTTTGTGATTCATTAGTATTAAGCCACATGAACTATTGTGATGTGGTGTACAACACCTGCTTGTCTGCATTTGATACCAGTCGAATCCAAAAGCTTCAAAATTCTTGTTTACGACTAATTTTTGGCATTCGTAAGTACGGTCATATAAGTCATACTTTTAAATTAATTCGTTGGCTGAATATGAAAAATAGAAGGTATGTTCATTCAGCGAATTTTTTCCATAAAGTTTTGTTAACGAAAACCCCTCCGTAATTTATATAATAAGATTCGCTCTAGAACTGATGTTCGTAACGTAAATATACGTCGCAAGGATACCATCACGCCACCCCTACATCGTACACAATTTTTTAAACGGTCCTTTCTATATAATATTACTAAAACTGTAAATAGTTTACCTAATTGTACCAAGTCTATGTCCCTGAATAGGTTTAAAAAATACATTTTTGATGTCACCATGGTTGCTGTCCAATATAGAG